TCAGGCTACTAGGCATGCCCGACGGGTGTACGTCGGAGGGCTTCCTCCTACAGCAAACGAACAGGTTTACTCACTTTTTTTAACCTTTTATTATTTGTGCTCTTCTACCTATGGTTAGTAAAGTTACGTTGTTATATTCTTTGACATTGTTCAGATAAATATCTATTTTTCTTCAATGAATACTTCCATGAATTTTGTTTTTGTTAAATTAGTCATGCTACAAAAAGAATAAAGAAATACGGTTTTACTCCAAATGTAAAATGTGTCTTAATATGCTATCATCTGCAGTCGGTTGCTACATTTTTCAGCCAAGTTATGGCTGCAATTGGAGGGAATACAGCTGCCCCAGGTATACTGATGTTTGCACTCAAATCTGTACATAACCAAGTGTGCTTGCCTAAATATGGTTACCCAATTGTTTTCCTATTTGTTTCATGCAGGAGATGCTGTTGTCAATGTTTACATTAACCACGAAAAGAAATTCGCTTTTGTTGAGATGAGATCGGTTGAAGAGGCCAGCAATGCAATGGCTCTGGATGGAATTATTTTTGAGGTATTCAAAACTTCCCTGTGCTTAGATCAGTGTAGGATTGTCATTTGTGCCCCGTTGACATTTTGTAAAGCAGATTGCATGGTATTGACACTTTGTGAAGCATATTGCATGGTATTGACTTCCCCCCTTCTTTATTTGGGTAATTAATACAGGGAGCCCCTGTAAAGGTGAGGAGACCTAGTGACTACAACCCATCTCTTGCTGCAACGCTTGGTCCAAGCCAGCCAAGTCCCAATCTGAACCTGGCTGCTGTTGGGCTTACACCGGGTTCTGCTGGTGGGCTTGAGGGTCCTGACCGCATATTTGTGGGTGGGCTACCCTATTACTTCACAGAAGCACAGATCAAGGAGTTGCTGGAATCCTTTGGACCCCTTCGTGGTTTTGATTTAGTGAAAGACAGGGAAACAGGAAACTCAAAAGGCTACGCTTTTTGTGTTTATCAAGATCTCTCAGTTACAGACATAGCTTGTGCAGCACTTAACGGTATTAAAATGGGTGACAAGACACTCACAGTTAGGCGTGCTAATCAAGGTGCCAACCAGCCCAAACCAGAGCAAGAGAGTGTTTTGTTGCATGCACAGCAGCAAATTGCATTGCAGGTATGAGTTAAATTGGTTTTTCCTTTAGAAAATTGTGTTATGGACAGGTCACTCCTGCCGAAGGAGTCTGTAGTCTGCAGTTACTGATATTTTGGTGAAAAGGTGTTTTTTTTGGTTTAAAAAATTATGTTTACTTTAGAATTGTCCATGTTAACCTAGTAAATAATGCATAAATTATACATGTAGTTGTAGACTTTATAAAATAGTGTATCCCTGATAAAAGTATGATGTAGTTTGAAAACACTCTTTTTCATAATTTATCTATATATTTCATATTATCCTTGTACTGAATTTTTAGTCTTTTTGTTTTTGGGTGAGAATATTTTATGTAATGTGGGATATATTTGCTAACATGCAGTGTTTAAATGAATGTGCTTATATACTTTCCTCAATAATACTTTCATCTTCTTAATATTGATTCTGATCTGAACTCTACTTTAGTTTTGGTTTAACATCTTGAGGTGTTGTTTCATTTGCAGAGGTTCATGTTGTTGCAACCGCCTAGTTCTGTCGCCACCAAGGTTGTATGTTTAACTCAAGTAGTAACTGCAGATGAGCTTAGGGATGATGATGAGTATGAAGATATTTTGGAAGACATGAGGCTGGAAGGCGGAAAGTTTGGTAAATTACCATCACTCTAGTGTTAATTTCACGATTTCTTTTGTTTCTTTTAATTATCCTACAAAGTTTATTGTGGTATTGATTTTCTTTTTCTTTTTTTTTTGTCGCCATCTTTCTGTTTTACAGCCTTTTTTGTAGTCACACATTCTGCTATAAAGATTCAGGCCTAACATTCAGACAGAAGCCTCCCTAACCTTCTAACTGAATTCACCTAAGATTTGTTTTGTTGTCTATTTCTAAGATCTATTTGTCTTTCACTGATCTGCAGGACCGTTAGTGAATGTCATCATCCCACGTCCAAGACCAGATGGTGAACCGTCACCCGGAGTTGGGAAGGTTGGTCTGAATTCTAGTCATTAATACATTTAAGTTTGAAAAATCTGATTGGCAGGATAATGTCTTCTACTTGCTAAACAATCTTCAATTTACAGGTGTTTTTAGAGTATGCAGATGTTGACGGTTCTACGAAAGCCCGCACTGGGTTGAATGGCAGGAAGTTTGGTGGTAATCAGGTGGTAGCAGTGTTTTACCCGGAAGACAAGTTTGCCCAGGGCGATTACGAGGGCTAGTTGTTTGTCCAAATATACATATTAACTGAATTGTCAAGATTTCTTAATTAGAACTTTGAGTTTGCTATTTCCTTAATGTTCCACATTTAGTGGTATCTTGTAGCCTAGTATGTAACTAGGATGATTGTTCCTTTTTTTGGTTGAAAATTACAATTGTGTACTTTTCCAGTTAGTGCGGGAAGTGAAAATATGAACTTAAATATGAGTTATGGTCTTTCAGTGGTTGAATACATTTTAGCTTTTCATAAGCATAACAATGTATTTTTTCATTTTTTGCATAAACTAAACACTTGGAGCCATTTCTCAACCTAAAAAATATCACCTTGAGCCATTTTATCTTTTTGGCCTCATCTCAAACCTTGTGCCAACTCACCAAGAACTAGTTGGTGTGCTAAACATATCAAATTGAGCTTTAGGGCTCGTCAATGGGCTGGGCCGGGCCAAATTCAATGGGCTTGGGCCGGGCCGGGTTTTAAAGAGGAGAGAGAAAATATTGAGCCTGGTTAGACTGGGTTTTTTTAGAAAATTCAAAGTCCAAGCCCGACCCATGAGCTGGGCCTGAAAAAGCCCCTCGGGCCGGGCCGGGCTAAGCCCAACGGGCCGGGACTAAATGGGCCTACTTTATTAAAAAAAATCATAAACTTAATCATAAAGGCATTTTAGTTCAAATTTGAGATTAAACTTACTTAATTCCAATATTTTCACATCAAACTAAATTCATAAAACACTCAATAAAGTCACACAACTTAATAAGATTTTCTACAAAAATTATAAAACCAAATATTATCTTTGAGGTTATTACATAAGTAGATCGTAATACATTTTAAGAAATAATTTTAAAAAATAATAAGTATCAAACAAATATTTTTTTTAAATGATGGTATGAATAAATATGCAAATATTTGGTGATGTGTTCAAGAAAAACATGATTATATTTGGTGGTACAATTATGTTTCGTGATATGATTATATTTGGTGATGTGATATGTTGTTCGTCTTATTTATATATATATATATTATTGAATTAATAATTAACACAAATTAATGTGCTAATCATCCAATTATAAACTAGGAATGAGTAAAGAAAAGTAAATGAAATGAAACAAATTATATATGTGATTTAGGTGATAAAATCCTAAACCTAAACTCTTATTTATACATAATTATATATGTATGCGGGCCTAACAGTCCGGGCTTTTGTGGGCGGGCTGGGGTGGGCTTTCTTGGGCTTAATTGGGCCGGGCCTATGGGCCAGGCCGGGCTTCAGACACCCAAGACGAGCCGGGTCATCTCAAAGCCCATAACTGGCCGGGCCAGATTTTTTTTCGATGGGCCGAAAGGGCCCCCTCGGCCCATGAGCCCGCGGGCCAAATGATGAGGCCTACGAGATAACACAACGTGATAAACAATTGACAAGCTGATTTAATTTACAAGTTTATTCAACTTATGTCATGTCCAATCTTTCATTACTCAACATCATTGAGCACTTATATGATCGGGCCTAATAAATTTGGAAAGAACAGATGGGATTACCCATAGCACAGAACATTAAATTTCACCAAAGTGTCGTTTTTAACTTTGAGTTGAAGAATTATTTATTTAAATAAAAATATATATATTCCTGGGTAAAGGGTTTCCGGATACGGAAAATCCCGGGAAATGGTTTCCTATATTTATGCTCCGCTCTGACCCCCAAAAAAAAAAAAAAAAAAAAAAAAGTTTGCACCGCGACAAAACCAACTCCTAAAACCCTAAAATTTCAGAAGCAAGCAACAAGTCTTTCATCCAAAACCCGAAACAGCAAAACCCTGAAAATGTCATCTTCAATTCCTCTCCGCCATCTCCGCCAGCTCTCCACCACCGCTAAGTCTTCAATCTCCATCTCACAAGCGAAGTCCAAGCTCCGAACAGAGTATGACCCTGACAAAGCCCTAGAGATTTACTCCTCTGTCTCCGAACACTACGCGTCTCCTACCTCCTCTCGCTATGCTCAGGACCTCACCGTTCGTCGCCTCGCGAAGTCTCATCGCTTCGCCGACATCGAAAAATTCATTGAATCTCACAAAAATGACCCGAAAATCACCCAAGAGCCTTTCTTGTGCACCCTCATCCGATCGTACGGCCGTTCCGGCATGTTCGACCACGCAATGAGGACCTTTGATCAAATGGACCAGCTGGGTACTCCGAGATCTTCACTATCCTTCAATGCTCTGTTGACTGCGTGCACCAATTCGAAACAGTTCGAAAAAGTCCCCCATCTGTTCGATGAAATTCCCAACAAGCATGGTGTCTCCCCGGATAAAGTGTCGTATGGTATATTAATCAAGTCGTATTGCGAGGCTGGTAAGCCCGAGAAGGCGATTGAGACTCTGAGGTTGATGGAGGAGAAGGGTATTGAGATAACTGCAGTGACGTTCACCACAATATTCAATGCTCTGTATAAGAAAGGCAATGGTGAAGAGGCTGAGAACTTCTGGAATGAGATGGTGAAGAAGGGTATTGAGGTTGATGCTGCCGCTTATAATGTTAAGATTATGTATGTCCATGGCGGGAACCCCGACAATGTGAAAGCCTTGATCGAAGAAATGGCGAATGCCGGGCTGAAACCCGACACTATTAGTTACAATTACTTGATGACTTGTTATTGCAGGAATGAGATGATGGAAGAAGCTGTCAAGGTTTATGAGGGGTTGGAGGGAAATGCTTGTAATCCGAATGCTGCAACTTTTAGGACTTTGATATTTTATCTGTGTAGTAGTGAGGATTATGATAAGGCGTATAAGATTTTCAAGAGGAGTGTGGAGGTGCATAAGATCCCCGACTTTAATACGATGAGACATTTGGTTGAAGGATTGGTGAAGAAGAAGAAGATGAAGGAGGCCAAGGGATTGATACGCACAATTAAGAAGAAGTTCCCTCCTAATGTTTTGGTTGCCTGGAAGAAAGTGGAGGAGGGTCTTGGTTTGACTTCTTCTGATAGGAATGCTTCTTCAGTTCCTGATGACGACGAGGCTAAGGAGGCTACAGCATAGTTATTAGCGGGATTCTGGTTGGTCTTGTGCTGAATGTGTTGATTACTTCATCTGCGGCCGCCCGAGTTGATCTAGTGAAACCGTGAGCAAGGATGCCAATTTTCCGCGGAAGCAAGTTTGAAGCTTTTGGAAATTGTAATGCTGTAAAAGCTGCAATTTTGATTTTTATGTTAGTTTTCTACTCTGTTTTCTGCTATTTGGTTGAATCTGTTCACCTATTGTAGTGCTAGTAAAAATTCCTTGGCTCATCTGGCATTTAGTAAGATTTCAGAGCCCTTGTTCAAGCTGTCTTGTATCCAGATAGGGAAGCAGGCGTATTTTATTACTTTTTATCCTGCTTATGCCATAGCCAGTATGAGGATTCTGTTCAGATCCTGCTGAGTGTTAATACTCTGTAATGTTTTATTTTCCTTTTACAAATTTTGATTAACAATATGTTACATTAGAGTACTGTGATAACTTTGATTAAGAAAAAACTGGTTGAAAGTTGTCCTGCCACCAGAGTGAGTTTAACGGCTATGAAGAAATGTTAATATTACAATTCGAACCAGAGTGAGTTTAATAGTTTAAGTAATACAGTTCTCTGTCAAGGACCCACAAAACTATTTTGGCTCAGAATCAGAACCAAAAATTTATTTGGAGTTCCCAGATTGTATAGAATAGCGGAGGTCACTGGGTTACTGTTACAGAGGAGGTAGTCCCAGGATTGCATATGAGTGTCGTTCGATTGTAAATGACAGAGCCATTGGATTGCAGGGGGATTGTCAAGCAGTGAAGATAACTACTCAGCCAAAGCTATTTTGTTATACACCAAAGAGCAAAAGAAAAAACTCAAAATCACTGTCAGCAGTGAAATTTATAACTAGACATATGACAGTTTGTGGGCCAGTTATTTGCTAATTTCTTTTTGGAAATAGAGTAATAAGGAAAGTTTTTAAGGCCCAACCCTGCTGAGTGAAACGAAGATGCCACACAGCTTAGGCTGGATATCTTGAAGTTCAGGTTCTCTTTCCTTTCTTGTACTTGCAGTTCTAGTTTAATACTCCTTCCGTTCAGTTCTATTTTCGGTTCAAGTAGTTGATTTTGTTTGCTTTCAGATTTCTGAAGATTTATCATTGGAGTTGTTTGTTCAGCTGGCCCTCTTAGTGTGTGCCTCAGTTGAAGATCAAAGCCTGCCTTGCAGGTTTTGCTGGTTACATACCTGTGTGTTAAAACTCCTAATGAAAATATATGAATTTGAGCGAGAAACCTTCACCAAGGATACGTTTTTGTTGAAATCTGTAATGAGAAAGATTCTAATTGTGGAATCAATAATGGTCCTTTTCTCAAGTTACTCTAGCTCCCTTTACCTTGTTAAAGTTCTCTACTTCTAACTCTATTTTGTATTTGACTGCTAAACAGGAAATCAAGGTGCTTAATAAGATCAGACTTTATGGGAAGCCAATATGTGTAAATAAGGTACTGAACTGTTTTTCTTCCCTAGCTATCATTTTCTGGGTCTGTACATCTGTCATCTTGTTCTACATAGACAGGTACCAATCATAGAATTGCACTTAATTTTTGTTTTTTGAGGGCTAGGCATTCTGTTCCGTCTCTACCGACTGCATATCATATATGTTCTGTAGTGTTGATAGATTGTGTGAAAGAGTTTTCAAGTATCTAAACTAGGGAGGGTTCCACTTATAAGTAAAAGCGGAACTTCTGCTATTTTGGTTTTGAAGCCAAAGTCAAATGGGTATTATTTTAGTTGCAATACACATATAACTTTCTGGCATTTGCTCATTTGTTGTAATGCTTGCTGAAATGGTGGGCTATTTTACATGAAGTTGATTTAGAATTTGAATTTCTTGCACTGCAGTTTTACATTATAAAGTAGCCCAAAACTTAATTTTCTCTGTAGTTTCTTCTGTTGAGTGACAAGAAGGGACTAAATAGGTAGGCTGGGCTAGAACTTAGAACTAAACAAGCCAGATAGATAAAGATCACGGGCACCGTGATTCAGACTCAGTAGACCACAGGGTTGGGATCTTTGATTTGATCCTCTAAAAAAGCGTGCCTCAAACTGAATCCCAGAGGCAAATAGTAGGTAGAAACAAAGATAAGAATCCAAGGGTGGAGGACACATGGGTTATTGCTGCAACTGTGACTGGCTGATGACAAAGATTTTTTGATGAAACAGAGACATAATGAGCACGCTGCAATCCTACGCTCTAAGCCTCTAGAGCTAAGATTGATAGATAGATAGAAAGATGGGTACACGCAAAAGAGACACGAGTACATATGAACCAGAAAGATCTGATCAACTGAGCTCATGCGCTAAAAGAAGCTCTGCTACTTACTTGTGGTAAATAAAACTCATAGGGACATGTGCTGCTGATTTCAATTTTGAGCCAGCTATATAATTTCTCAGGTGGATGATGAAGCTCTGATGCCGTGTGTGCTCTCCACACTGAAACTTTACCATTTCCACAAAAGATTCATTCTCTTCAGCCAAGAAAGAGAGAGAAAATTAAATGACAGCCTAATCAGCCATTTACTATTAACAGTATGAGTGAAGTGTTACTTTTTACTGCAGTGCTGGGTCACAACAACCCAGGAGAGAGAGAGAGAGAGACTAGTGGGGCGGGATTGAAGAGGAGCACCACCTGACTGATGATGATGACTTGTGAGGAGGACCGAGTTGGAGAGTGGGTCATCAATTCGTCATGTCGTCATGGATCCGATTCCATTTCTCTACTTTTATTACGTTACGTGGTGTGTACGTAATAATAACAAAGGGCGAGGGCAATTTTCTTTCTTACTTACTTTCCATTTGTGCGTAAAAGAGAAAGGTGAAAGGAATAGAAACAAATGGCAGACCCCACCAAAAGAAACAACGAAATAATAGAAAGAGGAGCAAGCAAATTGCATATCGGATCCAATAGTGAATTTTAGTTTTTCATGTATAAGGGATGTGTTAGGTTTTAGCAACTCGAGAAGATTTTGGTTATGTACATGCAATGGCACAATCAAATCAAACAAGGTCGCTATGTCCGATCAACATTGTGAGACTCAATTACATCAACAGTCAACTATTATATTATTTATGTACGTCATGAACAGTCAACAATTACATTATTTATGTACGTGTGACCGGTTGTTTATACGTTGTATTACTACCAAACAAAATTATCAAATATTCCAACAAGAAGATACGACATCATATTGACTTTCATGGACTAGAGTTGGATAGTAGGCATGTGCACCACAGAAATGAGCGTGCAAAGCGGAGAAGATTAGAGCTTTTTATTGATGTTTCTTCCAAGTTGCAAGCTACAACATCATTTCAGTCCATGAGAAGGCAGAAGGCAGAAGACTGGCTTTTTAATCATTGGTCGGTCCACATGCTTAATTGGTCCTTAATAACATCATTGATTAAAGTTGTACATCCCAATATTTTCAACTGACTGTGTTCTTGTGTTGTGTCCGCGTGATACTCTCAGGCTCCCTGTCAAAGGAGATACCATATCATGTCATGTCGACCAAAAGTGCAAACTCGTTTATTAGCTCTTTCACCTTTCACTACCTCCCAACTTTTGCTTTTTAATCAGGCACCATTCATTAATGTGTTAGACAAGTAATTGAATTCAAACCCCATAATTTAAGCTGTAAAGAAGAATCACACACAGTATATCAAACGGACTCCGAGCTGTTCCTGAAGAGATGGAGCAATTGTTTGCGAAGAGTTAGCGAATCGTTGGAGCCCCATTCGAATTGTTTGTTCCTGAAGAGATGGAGCAATTGTTTGCGAAGAGTTAGCGAATCGTTGGAGGCCCATTCGAATTGTTCGCCCATTTGAATTGTTCAAATGTTATGAAATGCGGATAAATGCACGATCTTTTTTTGAGTAATCTCATCTTGCATTGCATTTGCATGCCAAGTACTTCCATTAACTGATCATCCATCTTTCTACGTAGAATAACAACATGCACCACAACAAATTAATGAAAAATTAGCCACCACCATTATCATCTTAACTAGAAACCTTTAAAACTAACCCGTACTATTTCATATGATCTCTTGCAACACATATATTACATAAAACCCTCAAACTGAAAAATAATTAAAGTGATCATCTAGTTCGTGTTTTATTTTCATTCGTTTGAGAGCTAGCTAGCTAGGTTTTAAAGAGCTCTAGAAACTCTTGCTCCTGATGATGATCTTGCACTACCAGTAGCGCAACAGAACAGAGCCTCCCAAATCTCGGCGAAAGCTTCAACGATGACCCCATGGTGCTCCCTCGAGTTCAGAGACAAGAAACAATGGAGCAACTGCTCCAACTCTCTCTCGTCGAACATCTGCTTCTCCAAAATCATCTCCATCATCGACCTCTTGAAGTCCTCGTACGGATCCTCCGACTTCTTCACCACCGCGAAACTCTCCCTCACCTTCCCCTCCACCGTGCACGGTATCAGCCTCTGAAACACCGACAGCCTAGCCGGCGCCGCCGTTTCCATCTCTGCCGATGACCTTCTCGAGACGCTGCGTTTCGCGGCGCTGCTGCCACGCTTCTTTTTCTTTTTCCGGCGAGGAACTGGCGGGGATGAGTCGGTTGAGAAGCTTCTGGAAGATCTGGTGGAGACGAGGGTTTCGGTTTCTTCGTCGTCCAAGCCGCCGCCGCCTTCGCTGCTGAAAATTCCAGTTTCGAAGGAGGACGTGCTGATCCGGATGCGACTTGTCGTTGTTTTCTTCTTTTTGTTTTTGACTCGTCGTTTTTGGTTCGTTTTCTTGTTCTGCTCCGAGACGGAGGAGGGAGGAGGCGAAACGGTGTCGTCTACGTCGGAGGAGGCGGAGGCGGAGGAAGTGTAGATTTTGCTGCGTGGGTTAATGTCGTAGACCTTGGCGACCACGTGCCACTTGTCCTCTCTTTCCCACTCGAACTTATGATGATGGTCGGGCGGCGATCTGGTGCGGTCGTCGTCGGAGAGTGTTGGTCTGGATCTGATGCCACAGAATAACACGTGGCGTTTGATGGAGGAGTGGTGATGGATTTTGGACGGTAGAGGTGGTGGTAGTGGGGTGGTGGCTGGGAAGTTCACGTGGTTGACTAAGGGGGGTGGTCGGGAGAGAAATGAAGGGACAGGATTTGAGGGGAGAGCGGAGGGGTCTTTTGAACGGCAAGATTGGAAGGAGGGGATCACTCGGGAGATTCGGAACTTGAAACGTTTCGCCATGAAGGATGGACGTTTCTTAAGAAACAAGCTCTCCGTGTATGTATGTATGGGAGACTAACTTGGCAGGAAGCAGGAAGCAGGAAGCAGTAAGGAGCAGTGTGATAAAATTGACATGCAAACTGTTTGTGTATGAGAAGTGGTGGGGCTTAAATAGAAA